TGAAAGAGCTGATGTTTTCCATCTGGAAAACAAATACTTGGCACCGGGAGGACCCACAGCCCGTCTGTGGTTCAGCTAATTGCACATCAGCTGGGAAAACTGAGTAAAAACTGCTCAGACCATCTCTCTTCCTCCCTGCCCTTCCTCTCCCCATCCCCCTTTATTTTATTTTTTATTTCAAGAGTTTAGAAGGTGACTAAGCTAAAAGCAAGAGCTGCTGGGAGGGGTGAGTCAATCACTTTCTGTCCCTGGCCCTTGAAATGTGGAGCAGTGAGGCCCTGGATGATAAAACCCTGCAGAGAGCTGCTCAGGCTTGTCTGGGCCCTCCCCATTAGTCCAGTCACTGGGGAATTCTGGGGTAAAGTACCACGTTCGAGGCTGGAACAAGCATCAAAACGACAGCAAAAGTTTGGTCTGAGAGACAGATTGCATGAAAAAAGCCTCTGACACTGAGCCAGAAACTGCCAGGACCACAGAAACAGTAATTGGTGAACCAGTACAGGAGATATGAGGAGCAGAAACAAAGCAATCTAGCCAAGAGTATCATCTGATCTGAGGCCAAGTCCTGAAGCTCCTTGCTGGGCAGAGATAACGCAGCAGAAGCTCAGCCCACAGTCCCAGATGCTTGCCAGGCTTTTTTCTGAGCAAGGACAGCACATGGGGAGAAGAGAAGAGGGGGTGGTTAGCGTCCAGAGAAGGAGAGCTCTCCCATTGTCTCCTCTTCCCACAGGCTTTGCCAAGAAGACTTTCATCTCCTACTCGGTCACCTTTGGGGACAGCTTCCGACAAGGCAAGGTGGTGGCCATAGACCCCGAGAGGCAGCAAGTGGTGCTCAGTGATGGTGAGGTGGGTGTTGCAATGCCCTGGCTGCCTCATGGGATCACCTGCTAGTGCAGGCAGCCAGCCCTCAGCAGGGTGTGTTCCATCCTCCTGCACAACTTGGCATCTTTTCCTGCACGGCCCCATCCCTTCCAGCCGAGCTAAGTGGCCTTCAGCCGTGCTGGGATGTGGGTGTGCAGTAAATGCCCAACCCCTTCTCCTGCTCGGCTGAGCATTTTTTATTAGAGCTGGATTTAGAGCTCAACAATTAAACCTGGGGCTCAGATCCTTATTTAACTGCAGGAAGAGCCAAGAGCAGCAGCATCAATCACTCTTTTCAGCCAGAGCATCTCACCTCTGTTCAGGAGAGAAGTTAGTCTCTGGAACCAGCTGTGAGTGTCCACCATAAATATCAGGTTATTCCCTGTAAATCTTGGGTAGTTTCTTTAAAGCTCTCAACTCACCTGAATGGTGTTCAGCTCAGACCTTGAACTTGGTGTGTTACTTGAGTTACTTGGTGTGACCTGGCCTGTGTCTCTTCCTAAAGTCACTTCCTGACAGTGACAAGTACTTGCCTGGTTACTGGCAAGAGATGGGGATGAGGGAATGAGTGACCAACACCTAGGAGGCCAGCACTGCATTCTAGGCTCTGTTTTTAAGAGGTCTAATATCCCATTCTACCTTCTGCCCTGCCAGGAGCTTCACTACTCCCATCTCATTCTTGCAACAGGCAGTGATGGGCCATTCCCTGGGAAGTTCAACCAAGTCATTGACATGGAAAGTGCCATCCAGACCTATGAGGACATGGTGAAAGAGGTGAGGAATCCACTCTTAGGAAATGCTGCCTGCCTTTGTTCAGCCTCCCTGTCCCAGATACCACTGTGGACATCTGGAGCCACCTGTGTCTAAGAGAAAGGGAACAGAGAGCAGCCAGGACAAGGAGCTCATCCTGGCTTCTCCAGCAGAAGGGAAACCTGAAAGGGGTAGCCAGGAAGAGAGCACAGGGTACTCCTTTGTTGTTGCCTCTTCATGGGCTAAGAGGTTTATTGCTGTTGGTCCCAGAATGTTCATGGAGTGACTGAACGTGTCTGCTTCCTGCCCTTTGCAGTTCTCTTGTAACACAAATTTTCTCTTGAAGGTTGAGAAATCTCAGCGCATCCTGGTGGTGGGAGGTGGTGCTGCTGGAGTGGAGATGGCTGCCGAGATCAAAACGGAGTACCCGGACAAAGAGGTGGGAACATCTCCATCACAGTTAACTGCAAACTGGTTCTGCTACTGTTCCATGGTGCTGCTGCTGGAGGCACCTGAGAGGCCTCACACCTGGCTGCTGGGCCTGTAGCCATGCACCAGCCAGGACTGTGGCACTGGGTGCCCCTTCCTGCCTTGTTCTTGCAGGGATCAATTAGGGTGGAGGGAGGCCAGCTGTAGCTGCTCCACCTTGCACACAGTGAGTACTGTTCTGTTCCTGTGTCCCCATTTGCTGTTTTGTCCCCAACAGGTCACCCTCATTCACTCAAAAATGGCACTGGCTGACGTGGAGCTGCTGCCCAGTGTCCGTCAGGTGGTGAAAGAGATTCTCCTCAGGAAAGGAGTCCGGCTGCTGTTAGGTATGTCCTTAACAATGCCTCTGAACATCTACAGGCTGCTCTTCCTTTAGCCAAAGCATCTCCTGATGTCCTCTTTCTGACTTTGTTTTGGTTACACATGGCTCCCCTGAATTCCTGTTCCTCTGGGTTAGCTGGAAACCCCAGCCTGGCAAAGGTTTGTGACCCAGGGCTCTGTGTTGCAACAGGTGAAAAGGTCAGCGACATAGAAAACCTCAGGCCAAACCAGTTCCAGAAGGACATGGTAGTGAGGACAGAGAGGGGCACTGAGGTGGTTGTTGACATGGTGGTGCTGTGCACAGGGATAAAGATTAACTCTTCTGCCTATGCTGCTGCATTTGGTAAGTGGAAAAACCCAAACCATGGGGTGGGGAGAAGCAGCAGTTCTTCAGTGTGTGGTGCCTGAGGGGTGGGAGGTGGGGAATGGACTGTGTACAACCTGCAGGGGTGATTCCACCCAAATATCAAAGGGTGATGCATTGCATGAGACTGCAGTGATTAACTACAGCGAGGCAAAAAGCACCTTGACACATAGAAAAGAGGGTGAAAAACAATCCCTCACTTTGTGTCAATCACATCTGCAGCATTTTGGGGTCTCAGGCCACAACAAGCAACACAGAGCTGCTTCTAAAAACCTCTGTTTGGCAAAACAGGTGACAAAATGGCAAGTAATGGTGCTTTGAAAGTTAACAAGCACCTCCAGGTGGAAGGCTACGAGAACATCTATGCCATTGGGGACTGTGCAGATCTCAAGGAGCCCAAGATGGCCTACCATGCTGGGCTCCATGCCAACATTGCGGTGACAAACATCATCAACAGCCTGACACAGAAGCCTCTCAAAACCTATGAGCCAGGTAAGGTCAGGAAGGTCAGCTGCAAGGAACAGCTGTCTCACCTCTCATGAGACTCTGAACTCACTGAATTCACTCTGAAAAAACTCAAAACTGGGGTAATATCAGCTTATAGCTCAGCTTCATATTAGTCCTTGCCAAAGACACAGTGTAGATATTAATTACCTGTGTCAGTCTGCCACACAACGTGTTCTTTCTTCACTAATGTCTTGATAAACCTACTGGTGGGAGTCTGCTACTCATGAAACTTATTTTCTTTTCTTAAAACTGCTCACTGTCCAATTAAATCTTGGGAGTAAGATGACTTTCCTTTCCTTCTTTCTCCCCTTAAACTACAACTAACACAAAGTGAACCATCTGGTCTCAAAAATCTAGCTGGGTAATAGGTAATAGGTCTTCTTCTTCATGAGCACTGATGTAAACTTAGCAGAACTATGCTGAATGCTGTTCCACATGGATGCAGGGGAGCTGGACACAACAGTTGTTTTACACCTCTACATGTCCTTTGCAGGATCACCAACATTCCTGCTCTCCATGGGCAGGAATTATGGTGTGGGCCAGGGTCTTGATAAATCTACTGGTGGGAGTCTGCTATTTATGAAAATTATTTTCTTAAAATTGCTCACTGTCCAATTAAATCTCAGGAGCAAGATGACTTCCCTTTCCTTCTTTCTCCCCTTAAACTACAACAAACACAAAGTGAACAATCTGGTCTCAAAAATCTAGCTGGGTAATGGGCACTGATGTAAACTTAGCAGAACTATGCTGAATGCTGTTCCCTGTGGATGCAGGGGAGTTGTTCTACACCTCTACCTCTCCTTTGCAGGGTCCCTGACATTCCTGCTGTCCATGGGCAGGGATGATGGTGTGGGCCAGGTGAATGGTTACTACGTGGGACGGCTCCTGGTGACCATTGCCAAGAGCAGGGATCTGTTTGTGTCCAAGAGCTGGAAGAACATGGGGCAGACGATGCCCTCCTGAGAGGAACAATCCAGCAAGGAGAACAGCAGCTGGAACAGGCTGAGGGTGCACTTCTGTTGCTTGGCTGATATTGTCCTCTGCAGCACCTCCTCAGGCCTCCTGTCACTGTGACACATAAAAGGGGTGCCTGCCTTGCTGTGAAGGGGAAGGAGGCACTTCCCAAATGAGCTGCACAGAAGTTCCCATGATAAAAACCAGGGAAGAAATGTTTCTTTTACTCCCCCTGCTGAGAGAGCTCTGGGCAATAAGCTTGGCTTACCTTGATTTGTAACAATAAACACTGTGCTTTTCAGAATCTCTGTGGTTTGTTTGTTATGTAGGTTGGGTTTTTTTTTCCTGGCTTTCTTTATTCTTGCTGTTCTAAGAAGGACCTGATTCTTACAGATCTGGCATCTGCTCTGCAGCTTGCAGGGAGAATGGCTCACAGTGCTGCCAGGGCAATCCTGTCTAAAACCTGGAAGGGGATATGGTAAGCCTGGAATTCAACAGAACAGAATTCAGCTTTGTGTTAAAATCTCCTCAGCAGCTTTGATTACATCACTTATAGAACCAAACTTCAGCCAGAAAAGCTGCTGGTTGTGATATGGCAAGCACTGAATTACAGATGCTGCTGCTTTTTCTTTCTTCTCTTTTCCTTTTTTTTTTCTTTTTAGGGTGAGAAATCCCCAGAGCAAAATTAGGGTTTATAATAATAAGCACACTGGACACATCTTTTTCGTTTTTTCTTATAAAACAAACAAAATCACCATGAAATATTCTCAGTAATTACAGAGGTTATTGTGAGTTAAAAGCAAAACAGAAGCTCTTCATGCATCACTTCTAAAACCCTTTTCACCTCTCTGAAGGGAGTTTACCATCTACCCTCAAGGGAGGGGAAAAAGGAGCAGAACATTTTTAAGAGCTTTCTTGAAAGTGGCATGTGTGAGTGTGTGTGTGTGAAGAAATCATCACTACAAATCTAAAATGAGGTTACTCTTTAAAAACCTCTAAACTAAAGTAACAAAGGACACTAAACTCCTGAAGCCAGATGATAACTCAATTGCTTAAGGTGATAAAAATGGCATGAAGAAATCAGACTAAACCCCTTTCATCTCTAATCACAGCTCTCCATCAAGTCACAACACGTCACACTACTACCACTCCCCCTCATCATCACATTGAAAAAATAAAACCCACCTCTAATGCTTTGAATGCTACTCAAGTTTGTTGAAAAATAAAGTTTCATTTGGCTGCCGTTGCTACTTCGTGTCCAGCTTGGCCATTTCTTGCACGTAGATGCCAATGCTTTCACTGTCGAAGAGCAGAAAGTAAATGTTCTTCAAGGAGGAAGAGCTGCTGCCATCAAAGTGGCTGGAAATGGCTCTGAGGGTCACCTGGGCTGCCGTCTGCTTTGGGAAGCAGTTTCTGTGTGGGCAGGGAGAAAAGAGAGCAGGTGAGTGTGGGGCAGGGATGCTGAGAGGAGCCAGCCAGGGCTCCTCCAGTGCCATGCGCAGTTTGGCAAACCCCAAGGATTTGATAGCAACTGTGGAGAGCCTGGTTCAAGTATGCCTTAAAGAAAGATAGAAGCCTGCTGTAAAAGCAGCCTTTCCCAGGCTTGATCCTGTACATAATTAGGTTCTCAGCCACCTTCTATATAAACAACAAGATTCTCAAACCGTTCTGTCCTCGGCTGCTACTGGGAGCAGACGGCCAGTCTGGGAATAGAGATGAAGGTTTTGGGAACCTTTCATATTATGGTGGGAACGCTGATCTTGGTTTCAGTAAACTAACTTCAGGTATTGTAAACAAAAGGAGGAGCTGAAGTTAGTTAGAAGGCTGCTTTTACAGCAGGCTTCTATATTTCTTTAAGGCATACTTGAACCAGGCTCTCCACAAGCAACATTCACCTGTTGCTGAATTCATTTCCTTAACTTCTGTTTTCTTCTGCTTCTACTTCTTATAACCAAATTTTTTTATTTACAAATTTTTATTCATACTTGTATTTATTTTAATTTTTTATTTATAATAATTTAATTTTTTTTTAGCTTGCCTTGAGTCTAAAAATATCCAAGGATGATTATTTTTTTTTAACAGAGAACTAAAAACAAACCAAACCCAAAACATCACCTACTTAGCTGACTTCCTCGCTCTGTCATTAAAATACTTTGCTTGGGATTCCTGTGAAAATAATTGAAATTACAACTCCAAGCCATATTAAGGTTGAGATGCATTCATTCACTCCTCTTGATGGTAATATTCTCTAATCTACAATTATTTTTATATTAAAAGCTATCAAAAAGATCTGGCACAACTGAAGTATCCCATCAGTTACTGTGAACAGTCCCTAAGATGGGACAGAGTAAAATGGAAATTCATATAAGTGATATGTTATAATTCTTTATCTACCCACAAAACCAGTATTTCATGTGCAGACATGGAGGTAAGAGTAAAATGACAGAAAAACCAGAAAGTCCTATTTGAAAAACTGCCTTTTTTCAGGAAATTTTGAGGTACTTGGATAAATGAAGTGTAAACCAGCAGCACCTGGTCAGTCTCTCTATTTCTGTTAGGAGGAGTAATTGTAAGAGCAAGAGAGTGAAATGGAACAAAGCAGCAGAAGGAGCTGCACTAAGACTAATGGTCCAAGAATGGATTATTCTTATTTTGTGCTTTTAGAAGACATGAAGTTTAGAAGCTATGCCTATTGGCATTAAAAGCTATAGTAAATTTTTATATTAAAGACTGTTAAAATAATGTATCACATTTTGCTTCCACTGAAAACCATAAACAAAAAGATCTGTATATTGAAAAAATGACTAAAAATTGCACTGCCCCTCTATTTAATCTTTTAGTCCTGATCCATAAAGTTATATTTTTCTGTGAAAAGTATCTGCATAAAAATGGCATTTTCACCTCCTGTGTACTTAGTGATGTGTGGTGATTTCACTGATTAAATGCAATTTTACTTTCATTTTATTCACTCTCAGGCCAACACAAGAGGACTGTACTACGTACTCTACTCTTTGGGCACTACTACCAAAATCAACAGATACATTTCTATTTCTATTTCTATTCTATTCTATTCTATTCTATTTACAAATAAATATAAGCACGTGAACTCACACAAAATAACAACTACTGCAGTTAGCAGTAAGATCTCTTGCCATCAGAGACCAACAAACGATTTTTTAAGAAATTTGAAAGAAAAAAAACTTCAGATTTCTTAGTCAAGCACATTCTACTTGCTAGTTATTAAGAAAGAAATGTGTGGCTTCACACTTGGTTTAATGGTTGACACTTTTGAAAGCGGATCTACATTTGAGAAACAGATTTTCTTTTCTTCTGAAAGGTTTTGTGTGACAAGTCTTTGCAATATCTGTTATCAGGAGGGCTTAATGAACACCCCACATCCACGTGGCCCAGGTGGCATCACTGTAACCTGCCTGCAGAATTATGCTGCTATAATCTCATTAGTACAAATGTGTGTTTAATAAGACTCCCCACAGCAAAATGAAGGGACACAAAACCCGAGGTGGTGCAGAGGAATGCAAATGACTGCCTAGCAATAGAAAACACAGCAAGCCCACTCAGCTCTCCTGTGGGCTGGCTAATTTCCCTTTACAAAGGCTCTCTGGCAGTTTCATGCAAACACTGCACTTCAGTGCATTCCTCTGGATCAGCAGAGGCAGGCTCACAGAGCAGAGGGCACCTCTGTGTCACAGCAGCAGCTCTGACAGCCTATTCCACCTCTGCTCCCCACACAGGGAGTCCTACCTGCCACTGGGAAACGGGGGGAAAGCCACAGACTTCAACTTCTTGTCTTCTGCAGCTGTTAAGCAGTTCTTGACAGTCTCCTCGAGCTGCTCCTCACACTTGTCCGAGCCCCACTGTGGGATGTGACAGTGGATGACAAACTTTGCTGCTAGGCCGCTAGACTGAGTGAGTGCAGCTAACACAAATGAAAATATAACATTTAGTTTGGAACAGAAACCGCCCTGCAACGACCTCTCAACCCAAAGTAACTCCTTAATTACCTCACCTTTCCAAAGAAATGCATTTGGGATTAAAATACACCACAGGGGCTCACTTGCAATAATAACCTGCCTCACCATTCCTTCTGTGATCAATTGTTACTTCTTTGGAGACCAAAGAACCCAGGGCTCATTTGGTTAGCACACAGCTACTCAATAATGACTTTTAGCTCTCTCATTCAGCACAGCCTCTGGGTTTGTTTTATGCAAAGTACAAAAACCTTGCCCTAAACACAGCATTTCTGCAAAGCTGTCACTGAGTATTTTGTACAAATATCCTCCATCATCATCATCATCACCATCATCTTTACAATTCCAGAGAGCTGGGGATTAATATGTAGACTCACTTTACAGCTGGGTAATTTCAGACAAGGACATAAAAATCAAAACTGTTTGTTGGAAGTCCCCACCAGTTATGTCCAATTAGGAGTCTCAGATTGATTTTTAAGAAAGTGTAAGATTTCTCCAGGAGCTGCAGAGCTTACAGCATGGTATCAGTTTACTTTTGTTGCAATTTGTCACTATCAGCACTACTGAAAGTCTGGGTGTCTTGGTAATCTCAGGTTAAACACTCTGAAATCAGCTGTGCAGGATGGAATTAGCCCAAGGATGAAAATCCTGGATCTATTCACTTGTTCTCCATCACAGAGGAATTCTGTGCTACTTAAATTTTAACCAGCTGTCTTAATAGTATAAAAGGAGTTCTTGTCTTAATAGTATAAAAAGAATCTATCTTCTAGTTAGGTAGTGATGGCTGACAGAGAAAAGTAGTTTACTTTGATTTTATGGCATATAAATTTGATATGATCTGAAAGTCAAGCAAATTATCTTGTATAAAAATTTCTCTGTCATTTCAGATGATAAAACCAGGCTACTCAATTAGGAATTTTCCCAAACTATTTAAAGCAATTTTTTTAATATAGAGATATTAAGCCAAATAAGGCATATTGTAACTTTTCTCCATCTGTTTTCCAGACACCTTCAATTGGTTTAATCTGTCCACAAAGGAAGCACAATCTGAGGTCCCAAACTATTCCCTGCTACAAATGTGTTAACCCTTGAAGGGAGCTCCTCTAATAAAGCAGCTGCAGTTCCAAAAAATGTGCCAGTTCTGCAGATGATATCACATCTTCATTTCTGCTCAAAGTAAAGCAATTATGTGGGTTATATACATTCATCTAATATGCATAAAGAAGAATAATTTATGAAGCATCACTATTTTTTCCTATGCCTAATTTTTCCTCAGCCTATATGTTAGGCTGAGAGCTGTTTCTGATTCTCACTA